TTTGAGTAAACTCAACAAATCCTGATGCTCATTGCCATAAGTTTTTGAGTTCTCAACTTTTGATTTTTTACAGTGTAAAACGCCTGGGAAAGTCGTTTAATGACCTCTTAAACCGTCATCTCGCAAAACTGTACCAAACCGAGGAGAGGAGGCTTGCTTGGCACGCCGTCCTGGTTCAGGAAGGGGGGCATCAAAGCCACATGGGGGTCAGACTTACCACCTTCCTGGGGACACGGCGGCGATTGTTCACCAATTAATCCCAGCCTGCTCTATTACTTTCAGATTATCTTTAAATGGTTGAAGTCTTTGAGGTGAGCCCTAATCTTTCCCGCACTTCAATGGCCGCCGTTGTATCTTGTCTGTGCGGGGAAGGCGAAGGGCTTAGAGGCTCTTAGAAGGTGGTCCGACACGGGACAGTGTGAGAACTCCAGCCTGGGCAGGGACCACAAACACCGGCTCAAAGCCCTTAAGCGCACAGGGGGGACAAATAAAAGGATTTGAGCTTGTTTTTGGGGGGTGAAGGAGCTAAAAAGCTATCTTTCATAATCCTTCTGAAAATAAGCCTTTGAAATGCATGATCGGGGTTGAGCTTAGCTCTTTGGTCTGTGTTGCACCTGGGTACGAGAGTGGAAACTGTGGAAAGTCAGTAACCTTGCGAGGAGACACAGGGAATCGGCGGTCCAGAACTCTAACGTCATGTATGTCACTGACAAGCCTCTCACCACGCTGGCAAACATTTACATGTGCTGTAATGGACTCAGTTATCAGTACTAATGACCTGAAATGCTTTAAAAAGACAGAGGAACTAAAAAAATGTTTGTAGGTTTTCTATTAACTAGCTTTTTCAACATGTGATAAAATACTAAATTGCTGTGTTTTTCTTGCTGTTTTGAGTGAGAATGCAGCTTTACAGCCAAGCAAACGTAATGAAATGAGATCTTGACTCGGAAAACTAGTTTTAAAACAGTTTCCCCATCAATGAAAAAAGAAAAAGACAAAAATTTAACTCACCCCCTTTTGGAAGTCAAATCCAGGTGAAATTAAATTAAAAAAAGGAGAGAGAGAGAAATCCATTAATGAACAGTTATACAATAACAAAATTCGAGCAAAGTTAAGTGGAAATTTTTTCATTCAAGACTTTTAGAGGTTTTAATTTTTTGAAAACATTTGCTCCTTTAATTTTGACATTTTTATACATTGGACATTTTAGAAGATCAGTAAAGTCAATAAAACGATCAAATATCACAAATGGAAGGTATGAGGATTATTTAGTGATTATTTAATGACATTCTTTTAAACCAAACCTCTCAATCAATGTCACAAGCTGCATCCTGGGACACTTTTAAAACAGTATTCAAGGAACTAAAAAAATAATATTAAACATATATTTATTGATTGATTTATTATTAAATTATTTTAATTAATTTATATAATATAATATATTAATATAATTTAATTCATTTATTAATATAATATATTTATTTTAATTTATTTATTAACATAGTATAATTTAATATAATTAATGAATTAATTAATTTAATTTATTAAAATTTAGTTTTGTAAAGAAATCCAAAACACGTTACCAAAATAAATTTCACAAATTCATGTCGATCTTATGCTAAGGTTTTTAATATCGTGAGAAATATTAATTCAGTCATACATGTCCAAGCTTATAACTTGTACTATAAGTGCAGTGTTGCATGATTGGTTGCGAACTTACAGAGGTGAAGTCCTGGTTTGTTCCGAGCCTGTAAAAAAAAACCAAGAAACATTATTAAAACTGAATTTATGATATGAGACGCAGGCATTCTAATAACATTCATTGCATTCGGAGGGAGAGGGGCACATTATATGACACTGGACACTTAATGTCAGTATATACTGATGATATATAAGCTTTCCAACCTTTTTATTGGCCAGGGAAGAGTCTTGTTTCAGGAGCTGAGCGAGGTGAGACAGTTTGCCACTTGCTGCCGAGAAGATCCACTCTTTCTCAAGAGGATCCAGCTATGAACGAAATAAACAAGAAAAGTCCTTTACATTAGTGATATTACACTGAAATCAAATTTTAAAATTCAGTATCTCGCTCATAGTCCCATGACTAGTTACATTTACAATACCGTTCAAAAATTTGGGGTTGGAAAGATTTTAAAAATGTTTTTGAAAGCAGTCTCTTCTGCTCAAGGCTGCATTTATTTGATCAAAAATACAGTAAAAACACTATTATTGTGAAAGAATCTTACAATTTCAAATAACTGTTTTCTATTGTGATATATTTTAAAATGTAATTTATTCCTGTGATGCAAAGCTGAATTTTCAGCATCATTACTCCAGTCTTCAGTGTCACATGATGCTCCAGAGATCATTCTAATATGCTGATTTGCTGCTCAAAAAAAAACATTTCTTATTATTACCAATGTTGAAAACAGTTGTGCTGCTTAATATTTTGTGGAAACCATGATATAGTTATTTAGGATGAACAGAAAATTCAAAAGAACATTTATTTGAAATAAATAAATGTTCTTTTGAATTTTCTGTTCAAAAGAACATTTAATTGAAATAAAAGTCTTATGTAACATTATAAATGTCTTTATTGTATGCTTGATCAATTTAATGTGACCTTAGTGAATAAAAGTATGCATTTGTTTCTTTCAAAAAAAACACAAAAAAAAGACCACATTTGAACAGTTTCTTATATTTTCTTAGCAAATGCCTTCATACCAGTTTCATAAAGTCCACACAATCCCAAATATTTACCATGGTAAATTTGATTCCATATAGTAAGTAAATAGTCATTTAGAAGATGTTTTTATCTAAAGCAACTTACAATACTTCTTAAAGAGAGACCCTGGAATAACTTGATTTTAAGTTTCTTAATCAGGGCACAAAATAACCACTGTCAAATTATGATGAATTAATATAAGATCTGCGTCAGACAGTCTAAGACTCTTTCTGTTGTTTAAATGCTTTTGATGACAGTGGAGATTAAAACCATAGTTTATTGTAGTAACAGTAACTACAGTAAGAAACGGTATTCTGCTGTAAATATAACATGATAAATGTTTCTTATAATGTGTGTTTTGATTAAACTGTTTTAACAGTGTGTTATTACACTCACAGCCACAGCGGTGAATCCCAAACTTCCTCCACACTCCTCATCCTGCTCGGATTCACTCTGGGAAAGGAACACGATATGATATGATTCACAAAATCACTCACAAAACCACCTGTCAGTATCACCTGGAGCTCGGAGGAGTCTGTGGGAAACTGTACAGTTAGTAACGTAAATAAAGTGACACACTAGAGTGGCCGTTGTGGTTTGGCAGTCATGCAGTTCCTCTTCCTGTTCTGTAGTTGCGGTATGAGTGGAGGGGAACCCAGCGCTGAGAAGAATGAACGAACTCTGGTAGCAAATAAACAACGCAAACAGACCACAAAGTCCTCAGTACACACATATAGATGCAGTCAACACAGCGAATACAGGAAACACCCATAATGCTGCTCTGTTTGTCAGTACACAGACTCACACTGAATACCAGAAACAAAACTTCCAGGGACGTTTACCTCAAAAGCACAACAAATCAGCTCGTTGAGATGGGAGAACAGTAAAAACAAAGGATAATTCCTCCAATTTGCCCTCTTCACAGGTCACACAACCATAAAAAAAAATGCTTGAAACCCCTCAGAGGTGAACGATTAGCTCCAATGAGCACCAAATTGCTCTAACTATGCCTTTTGTTTTTTTAATCATACGCCATTTTACCAGAAGACAAGTTTTGAGAGCCAAAGCGACAGTCAATTTCTCTTTATGTACCAAAGTGTCAGTCAGGCTGATTAATGTGAAGGAAAATGGAGCAGTTGGGTCATTTCTGCAGCGCACGTGATGGTTAATTGTTTTCAGGACAACTGTGGAGTGTCCGAGCGGACACTGGGAAAACACTTGCACTCTTTCATATAAGCTACACTAACAAGGTCTCTTTTCCTAAAGACTGCATGCAATATTTGTTTACCTGTGCTTAAATAGGAACTAAGCCAGGCAGATTTCCTTTTGAAACAAAAATAATGAGTGACTGAGATACTGAATAATTGCATGCAAAGTTATAATTTTTTTTATGTGAAAATCAACCAGACTGGTAACAAATAATCACAGTAGTGAAACCCAATTGCAGTAATAAATATGTCAATGAAAGAGATTCGCTGCATTGTAAAATATTAAAAAGACCACATTTTATGCAAATTATTTCAGCTTCAATGCATCATACGAATAATTCTTATGAAGTACTATTCAGTTTTGTCTGGCTTCTTGGAAAGAGCTTTCGGGCGTGAAGAGCTTTCAAGTGTGAATCTCTTCCACTTAAACAGTTTGCAAGCGGTGCGGTTGAAAGAGAAAGTTTTAATGCAAAACAAAACATTAATGTCTTAAAGCTCTAAGAGCAAAATATACAAAAACTCAATATTTACTTATATTACTTGTTTTTAAATAAAATAAAATATATAAAAATAATAAAATAAAAAGGATTAAAATCAAGCATAAAATCCCATGTTCCATCATTATGCCACTGGCCTTTAACTAGACGGATCTCAGAGTGATCTGCATACAAATGTTCGGAGGGCACAGATGATCATTTTCTCTATAATGAGGTGGAGCATGTTGCTGTTTTGCACAAGAATAGAAGGTCTCATTCAAATGCAAATGAAAGCGTCTTTCATGCTGTCACCCCTGGCTGAAATAAGGCCTCTCAAAAATCCAGCTATTTATTCTGGCGCCACCTTTTGGTTAGTCCTAGTATTACAGATATCATATGAGAACATTGTTTGGGGAGCTCTCTTGAATTATTGTGTCAGCTTTTGGGTGAATGATAAAAATGTACAAATAAGAGCAATGACAAATGACAAATAATAAGATAATCTTAAGGAAAAATCTTTAAATAAAAAAAAAAAAGCTTCAAATGCATGTGCTAATTTTTTTAGAAATGTAATCTATGTATTCATGCTGGTTTCCCTGGTTATCTAAAGATAACAATTCTCAACAAACGCTTTGAAGTGGTGTAATAATCAAATATAAAGTCACAACATATTTCACTTTCATCATCATTGCTCACGCTAATCATCATTTTCAAAAGATTTTGCAAATGTTTTTCAAGAAATACCATTTCTTTTAAATAATGAATATCATGAAGTTTTCTTGGGGTTTTACAATTTGAGAAGCTGAACCTGAATCGGAGTATTAAAAAAGGCTTGACAGTCATGAGGGTTGACAGCGGGCCTCCTTGTGATGTCATTTCCTGTTTATGGTAGTATTGTCACATGACAACAAAATGGCCTTTTGTAAGTTGGCTACATAACATTTTTTTTTTTATTTTTCACTTTTTAATTTTAAAATAAAACAGCTTCACCTTTTATTTTTATAATAAATAAATATTTTGTAAAAGTTTTTTTGTACTTTTTGATTATATATAGGTCTTGGCACCTAATTTAGCTGGAAAAGTGCAATGAGTGCATTGATTGGTAAATACATAATTAAAAAAAATATGCCAAATTACTTTATAATTTGTTTTTTACAATTTATTATTTTTTAAATAATTTTTTTTATTTTAATTAATCTTATTTTAAATATTATATTATAACACTATATTATTTAATATAATATTTTGTTTTTCTTCTATCTGGATCGTAAAGCCTCTTAGACATATTAACTTTAAGCCCAGGATAAAATATCAAAATCAATTTTAATTAAGATATTTTAATACTGTTAAATCAAATAAGGTATATTAAAGTCATTGTCTGTACGAAATGCATTTGTGATATTTTTTAAAGTGTGTAAATTGATCCATCCAGATATGCCATTGACCCTTCTATGTTTAGTGATTTTATGACAACTAAGAGTAGTTTGTTCTAAATCATGAAAATTTGTTTTAACACAAACATCTAAAATAGTGTGTGATCCAAAATAAATAAGTTTACTCAAGATACTTGACTCTAACCTTTGACCCTGAATCCTTGTCGAGTTCATCTTCTCTGTCTGAGGCTGAAAGCTCCTCTGGTTTCTCCTCTACTGCTTTAATTTATTTTCAGTTTACATTTTATTTTTAGTCATTTTGTTATGTGCTTTATTCTTTTATTCGTTTTTTTGTAGTAGTTAATTTTAGTGCTTCAGCTTAAACTTATTTCAGTTAGTTGCTAAGGCAACATTTCAATTTTTAATTTGAGGTTTTCTTTGAACATAACATTCTCATAATAAGGACTCACAATGAATATGCTTAGGATGTTTACCTTTATAGAATATTTTACCACTTTTTCACATTCAATTATTTTTATTTATATTTTGAATTAAACATTTTTAGATTGAATTACTTTTTTTTTTTTTTTGCATTTTTATTAGATTTATTTGTTTATTATTTTTCTTTGAATATTACTTATTATTTTGGTTTCCCCCAGTTAGTACTTTTAGTGCTCCAACTTATTTCAGTTAGTTGCCAAGGCATCATTAATAATTTTAAGTTTTTCCATCAAATATTTATATTTTATTTTAGCTTTACTTCAATTAACAACATTTTTTATTTTACTTTTAGTTAACTATAATAACCCTATCATCCGCTCACAAAATCTTATAATGAGGACTCAATGGATATGCTTATGATGTTTACCTTTATAGAGAGACATAGCACTTTTTCACATTAAAATCATAAGACCATCACAGATTTGCATTAATAGTTATGTTTGCCAATAATAGTAATGTCAATGTTGTGCTGTGACAGTTGTGTGCAAACTTTAACCTAAACTCCATGACATTGTGCACAGATCTTGTGAGTGAGGTTTTTGTCAAGGCCGCCACACAGAGATGCAAACCTCACAAGATAATATAATACAAAAATGCTTCAAGGCTTCAAAGATAAGTGAAGATTATTTTAAAACCAAGCAAAAAATAGCAATTAATCATTCCAAAAATGAAAATGTACATGCCCACTATACTCTCCCTCGCCGGAAGTCTCAATATGCGGTTCAAAATAACGCTTTTAACAGCTGAAATCCTACAGCTAAAGATAAGGACACAGAAACACTATGTTATCTGCTTTTGACAAGATTTCTCTTATCACCAGCTGCTTCTTTATTCCAGCTAGAAAAGCTTTAGCAAAAACACCTGACTCTGGGTGATATCCAGGAAAATTATTAATAGTGACCTGAATTTCACAAGAGTTTTACACTAGTTGATGCGAACATGTCATGCTAGTCTAACTGAGACTATGACCAACTTGAAAAATAACAACGTCTTACATTTAAGCAGAGCTTTAAATATGTTTAATGGAATAGCGTCACAAAGCAGAACATTGCTGAAATACTGTGGTTAAATTACTCAGATTACTGATTCCTCTTTAGCTCTGGTTTCTTCTTCTTATGTTTTTTTTTTTAGTAAAATCATAAGATGTGTCATTTTTTGATAACATGGATGTTACAAAACTGGTCACTGAGCTGTGAGACGCTTTACTTGTAAACTCCTCTTAAAGAAACAGTTCACTCAAATATGAAAAATTAACTTACTCATCAATGGATCCTCTACAGCAGGGTTCCTTAAATCTTGCCCTGGAGGGCCAATGCGCTGCAGAGTTTAGCCCAACCCTGATCAAACTCCCCGACCTGTGATTTTCTTATGATCCTGAAGACATTGATTAGCATGCCCAGGTGTGTTTGATTAGGGTTAGAACTAAACTCGGCAGGAAAGTGGATCTCATAGGCCAGATTTGAGGATCCCTGCTCTACAGTGAATGGGTGCCGTCAGAATGAGACGGCTGATAAAACAACACAATAATCCACAAGTAATCCACACAACTGCAGTCCATCAATTAACGTATTGTGAAGTAAAAAGCTGTGTGTTTGTAAGAAACAAATCCAACAATAAGGCATTTTAACTTTAAACTGTTGCTTCTGCCAAGTCCATAATGCATAATAACGCTTAATAATGATAAAGTCCATCCCCTGCAGTCCTCTCACATCAAAATCAACTAACATATTTGTTTAGAACTGTTTTGGACTGTTTTCAGTTGTAAACGGTGTGCATGTGTGGTTGATCTGTGCTTATTTCTCTCCTGATTCAGAGATGGTTTTTCCACTGGAAAAGCAATATTATGGATAAAGGACTCATATTTGACAGTTTGATGTTAAAAACGTCTTAATGTTTTATTTATTACAAACATGCTTCACAAGATGTTAACTGAAGGACTGGAGTCACGTGGATTACTTGTGGTTTATTGTGATATCTTTATCAGCTGTTTGGACCCATTTACTACAGAGGATCCATTGGTGAGCAAGTGATGGAATGGTAAATTTCTCCAAATGTGTTCTAATGAAAAATCTAACTCATCTACATCTCAGATGGCCTGAAGTTGAGTACATTTTCAGCAAATTGTCAATTTTTGGGTGAACTATTCCTTTAATACTGCTATGATGAGTAAAACAGAACTAATAATCACTCACATTATCTGTATGGGTTGGTTCTGTTGCCTCTGTGACTGTAATCATGGGTCCTGAGCACCAGGCCACCAGTGCCGATTTCTGAGCTGTTGGGTTACAGTTCTGCACTGGATTGGAGACCTGGAGATCATTTTGTGGGTTTGGATGAACCTGTTGATTGATTTTCCTCCCTTTCCAGCACCAGACTCTCGCTCTTGCATTTGCTGTCTATACTTCTTCTTGAGGACAAGATATTTCTCTCCCTGAAATAAAAAAGGAACCATTACTTTCATATGGTTATTAAAAATCAAAAACAAAACATGATTTTCTGTGTATAAAACACGTATATATGATGACTAAATATATATATATTGTGACGAGCGTCCCGAGGCTTCATCAGCGTCGCCCTGGAAACAAGCGAGGAGCACCTGGCCATCATCATCACAGGCTGATAGGTCACAGCTGCACCTCATCAGGCGGCGGCTATATAAGGCACGCAAGCCCTGCCATCTAGGAGATTCCTCCATGAGACTGAGCACTAACTCGCCCTCTCATTTTCCCCACAGAAAGCAGCGTGTGACCGACCAGCCCCACAGGAGCACTGCACGGACCCTCTGCACTGGGAAGACGGAAGAGAGCACTCACGGCACCAGGGCACCTACCTGGATCTTTCTCACTATCACTCATCACCCCAATAAATCCACCCTCCGGGGTATTGATTGAGATTACTTGTCGTGTGATTCTTCACCCCGTTACACCGGTGGAGAATGTGGGCAAATCCGTGAAGAATCACCGACAAGCGATCTTCTTCACCTCACCTTT